GTTAATTATTAACGAGGCAGCCAAAATATTTGCAGTCCTATTAGGACGTAGCCTTACTAAAGTTTAAAAAATGAATGATACTAATGTGGAATCTGACCGTTCCGAGTTGTACAATAATGAGAATCGAAAGAACCGCTCTTCCATGAAACCCTCCATTTCAGGTTCCCTATTAAGAAATGGCGCATTTCTGCCGTACCATCGGAGTTCCACGAGATTTCTATCTATTCTAAACCATCGTCATAAGCCAGTACGCCTACGCTGGAGCGTTGAAGGTTCTCATTTCGTTTACATCGTTCAACAAATCTTTATGGCTGGTATTCAGAGTCGTTGCTTATTCTTAAAAACGTCTTAAGCATTTGCTATCCCTGTCTATCCTGTCTTGTACAGGAAACAAGTACTTAAGCAAGTGTTTAAGGCGATCTTAAATATAAATAATGACTCTGAATAGCGGCCTATAAATCCAACTTCGCTTTAATTCAACCGTATGAACGTTGTTTCCCTTTTACATCCCTTCGACTGCAGAGACCATGAGTATAAATCACCCTAAAATCACGCAACTCCCTCGACATGATAACGCTGACCCATTGACTGTTTGAGTAACAAATATATAAATACGAGAGTAAGAGAGAAATTGTAAGAAAAAGAAGGACACACAGCTTTCCTTCTCACTCGAATTTCCCTATCTTTTCTTCCTACAGGACTCCGCACTGCAGTCAGGTATAGACTTCAATGCGCTGACCAGGCTTGAACAATGGTAACTCGTACGAGCAGGTGCGAGCTACTCTCACAGACGAGAACCATTATAAGGATGGATAGCAGTGTGTGCAATGGGCCTGTACATAGATTTCTCGAGAACACTACGAAACCATCCGCATAGTGGGGATGGATATCGCGCGCTCAAATAAGCTGGCAGAGGACTGGGTCATGCCTTGTCCTTTTCTAAACTTTTGACGAGACGAGGAAAAGTAGAAAAGGGACCATGGGATGGGAGTATGGGAACTCAGCCAGTTCTCTCTGAACGTTTGTTTGAGACAGATCAAACAGAACTTACGAAAGAAACTTAGGAATACGAACACTGTTCAAGGGACGACGTCCGAGCTAACTCTGGTTGAAGATGGGTTGAAGTACGTTTCCCCTATGGAAAACTCATTAACTTTTAAACCGCCGGTATTACTTACGTCCAAACGTGTTTAAAATTTACAAAGAATGTAACAAAATATCAAAGATAAATCTCATATAAAATACTCATTCTTGAGTTTCGTTATTTCGGTTTTGTGTGTCACGTGGCTTCCAGAGTTGGGCATTGGGCCCGACTGTTGGATCAACTGACGGCGTTATCTTTCTTTAACACTAGAAAGACTGAAACTGAGTATATACCTATATTGCCCAAAAGCAGTAAAAATGACTGCATTGTGAAAGAATAATGTGTAAAGAAATTTGTCTAAAATTAATTTTTAATATTCTTTATATTATTTACAGTCATATAACAAGTTATTAGTAACTTGGGCAATCTAGTGTTAAATACTAGAAAGCCTGACAGTCGTCACCTTCTCTCATATAAAGGGAGTGCTTCCCTATTTTGCTTACATGTTACTTTTATCACGAGTCTCGTTTTCAATTCAGTCCCTCTGACAATTTCCAAATGATAAATTACGAAACAGGTGAGAATTTCTTTTCAGGTATGCCTCGACCGCGTGGTGACTATAATAAAACGCGAAAAACGGCTGGCGTTCCTCGAAAGTCGCCTCGAACACGCTCGGGCAGACCCCCGGACCGGACGGTGTTCGAACGTATTTAAAGGTCCGAAGTATATATGCTCGTGTCCGTACGTGGGTGGGTGCGTTTGGATGCGTGCACATTCCACCGTGGATGATTCTGCGCGACAGTGACGTGAGGGAGAGAGCCGAGACTGCTGGTGTTCCATGGGTGGGGTCTCAACGATGAATCCCTTCTCTCCTCATATCTGATTCGATCTGATTCGAGTCAGTTTCGCGTAGTACGACGAACGGTATTCCTTGTGCCCGACGCGTAATACGCGTGTCCCCATGTAATGGCAGCGCGTAGCGAGGATCGGTTGCATGCCATACCGTAGACGTCTCGAGACGATCGAGACTCGGCCGTGATCGAACGCTATCGAGTTTCTTTGCTCTCTCGCGGAACCTCGAAAACGGCGACAGGAGTCGAGACAACGCTTTTATATTGGCTGGTCGAGATAACGTAAAGAAAGAGGTGCGGAGGCGTTATCAGCGTTTTTATCAACGCGCTGCGCCGACCGAGCTGCACTGACCTCGCTGGCTCAATCACGACCTGCCGATTTTCCAGGCCCGCCGTCGCATCGATGGAAATTATGTGAGTGACGTTTCGGAGTCACATTTTTTTTTGGCAAATGGACAAGACGTTCGCCCTTCGCTTGGATCTTACTGAATCATCGGACACGCCAGTCTCCGGGAAGGTTAGCGGACTATATTTGTCTATTTGTACGCGTGTAATGGTAATTGTTTATAACGAACACCGTGTTTCAAGGTGTTCACTGTGGGAACGTATCGGAACTGAGAATTTCAGTAAAAATGTGACCAGTTTTTCCCAATCGAAACGGAGCATCATTTGTACAGGTCTCTGCATTTATACTGTACACATAATCGTGAGTGACATAAATATTTAATTTAAGTAATTACTATGCGTTGAATATTGCGTTGCCTGGAAAGTTCGTTTCGATTCTTGATGGACGGATTAAGATAAGTCTCACTGTATCAGAACGATTAAAAATAAATTACATTTATATATATTCTAAAAGATGAATATTAGAAAGATGATTATTTATATATATTCTCCAAGATGAATATTAGAAAGGTGATTATTTATATATATTCTCCAAGATGAATATTAGAAAGGTGATTATTTATATATATTCTCCAAGATGAATATTAGAAAGGTGATTATTTATATATATTCTCCAAGATGAATATTAGAAAGGTGATTATTTATATATATTCTCCAAGATGAATATTAGAAAGGTGATTATTTATATATATTCTCCAAGATGAATATTAGAAAGGTGATTATTTATATATATTCTCCAAGATGAATATTAGAAAGGTGATTATTTATATATATTCTCCAAGATGAATATTAGAAAGGTGATTATTTATATATATTCTCCAAGATGAATATTAGAAAGGTGATTATTTATATATATTCTCCAAGATGAATATTAGAAAGGTGATTATTTATATATATTCTCCAAGATGAATATTAGAAAGGTGATTATTTATATATATTCTCCAAGATGAATATTAGAAAGGTGATTATTTATATATATTCTCCAAGATGAATATTAGAAAGGTGATTATTTATATATATTCTCCAAGATGAATATTAGAAAGGTGATTATTTATATATATTCTCCAAGATGAATATTAGAAAGGTGATTATTTATATATATTCTCCAAGATGAATATTAGAAAGGTGATTATTTATATATATTCTCCAAGATGAATATTAGAAAGGTGATTATTTATATATATTCTCCAAGATGAATATTAGAAAGGTGATTATTTATATATATTCTCCAAGATGAATATTAGAAAGGTGATTATTTATATATATTCTCCAAGATGAATATTAGAAAGGTGATTATTTATATATATTCTCCAAGATGAATATTAGAAAGGTGATTATTTATATATATTCTCCAAGATGAATATTAGAAAGGTGATTATTTATATATATTCTCCAAGATGAATATTAGAAAGGTGATTATTTATATATATTCTCCAAGATGAATATTAGAAAGGTGATTATTTATATATATTCTCCAAGATGAATATTAGAAAGGTGATTATTTATATATATTCTCCAAGATGAATATTAGAAAGGTGATTATTTATATATATTCTCCAAGATGAATATTAGAAAGGTGATTATTTATATATATTCTCCAAGATGAATATTAGAAAGGTGATTATTTATATATATTCTCCAAGATGAATATTAGAAAGGTGATTATTTATATATATTCTCCAAGATGAATATTAGAAAGGTGATTATTTATATATATTCTCCAAGATGAATATTAGAAAGGTGATTATTTATATATATTCTCCAAGATGAATATTAGAAAGGTGATTATTTATATATATTCTCCAAGATGAATATTAGAAAGGTGATTATTTATATATATTCTCCAAGATGAATATTAGAAAGGTGATTATTTATATATATTCTCCAAGATGAATATTAGAAAGGTGATTATTTATATATATTCTCCAAGATGAATATTAGAAAGGTGATTATTTATATATATTCTCCAAGATGAATATTAGAAAGGTGATTATTTATATATATTCTCCAAGATGAATATTAGAAAGATGACATGTTCTAAAAAACTGATAATATTTAAAAATAATATACGAATTGCAAGATATGATATCGAAGTGAGCCAAAACGAGGAATTAGAACCTTGAATACATTTCCTATAAATCTTCTATCAAAATCAGAAGGAACTTTCTGAACAATCCGATATAATGATTAAATATTGCAATCTCTGATTAACGTACGTTTTTAGGTGTAACTAGATAAAAATAATTTATTCCTAATGGAGAAGAGGAGCATAAGTGGAAGAGACATCCTGAGAATGGACGGTCTCCTGCCACCGACGCGACGTTTGCCCGTCTGCAACGCAGTGACTTCTCCAGATAAAAAGAAAGAGAAGAAATGGTCTATCGGTGGGATCTTAAAAAGGATATCGTTGATGAAGGATTACGACAGTTCCTCGAACGACGAAGAGATAGAATATTGCACGCGACAGCCAAGGCCACGGACAGTGTTTAATAAAAGATCGCATAACGTCGTGCTGCACCCCGTCGACAAAACTTCCGTCAACGACGTAACGGAAGCTGGAACGAACAACGACACGACAACTTCGCAAAAGGACACGTTGAACTCCCGTAGCAGCGACGGTTCGCTGGACGGATTAAGCAAGAAGGCTCGAAAGAGTAAATTGAAAGCTCGAATAGAGGCGAAACGTGATCGAATCTGCGCGGACAGCAGCTCGGATGAAGACTCCCGGAAGTCGACCAACTCGTTAACGAGATATCAGAACGAGACTGTGCAAGGTGCCGCGCAGAAAAATGGTTATTGCAACAGGAAAAGTCGCGCGGCTCGCACGGAACGTTACATGAAACGCCTGTCCAGAGACGAGGGTCCTAGATTCTCTGAGAATTTAAGCGACATAGCGAATAAACGTGCGAGTCTCGATTTCATGAACGAGGAGCAATTATCCGCGGACGCGAACGAATTATTTCGTCCAATGCAATCCTCGTCGCGTTATTCGAACAGCAACACATTTCCCGTGCAAAGGTCGGTCGAGAATTTACGGCAAAGCGGAATGGCCGCGTCTAATCATCAAGCCAGGTCGTCCAACGATCTCATGAAAAGTTATAGTAAATATATCACGGATATGAATCAAAATAACACCTACGCGAAACCGAACGTTTCGCAGAAATCTAAAAAGTATAAAGAAGAAAACGTGTACAGTTCGCCTGTGACGAGTACGAATCCTGACTCGACGAATCGTAACTCGCCTCCTGAGCCTCCGCCGAGGGACCCACGTTGCCGTCTCTTCGCTTACAGCTGCAACTCCTTTCCGTTTAATGGGAAATATCGCGCGTCGAGGTACGACGACACGCTGCGTACGAAAATGAACGATATTCACGAGGTCACTAAGGATCACGTGAAGAGTCTGAGATCGTACGATCCGAACAACGACGGTTGGTCCGGATTTACTAAAAACTGTCCGCGACGACCGTTGTCTCTCACCATGACTTCAACGGAACTCTGTAATTTATCCGAGTGTACGAACAATCGACACAATTCGACCGGTAAACACGTGGACGAGTCGACGACGTTTACGGAAACAGAGGCGATGAAGTGTCGGAGACGAAACGATCGCAACGACCAGATCACGTCGCGGTTTAAGAATTTCGACACGAGAATGCGTGAAAATAAATTTACTTATATAAACGTACGAAATAATTGTGTATCTCCCGGGTCTAAATCTGCGGACTCTCCGCTTGCAAAATCACCGATTAAAAATTCTTACGATCTACGAAATACGTCGCCGGTGATTAGAAAATCAGCGGAGGAAAAATCGAGCGTGAATGAGCAGGAAGCTTTGGAAAGAAGGAGGAGTTCGAAGAACCTCGAAGAGGCACTGTCCGAGTTAGAAGCGATATACAACAGCTTGCGTCTCGGAGACGAGGATCTCCTCGATCGCGCAGAACGTCGGAGCATGGAAGAGTTCAATCTGCGGCAAGCAAAAACGAACGCGGCTCCGTACGCAGAGGATCTGACGGACCGAACTAGAGACGACATGGCTTACAGACGGATGCATCCGAAAGAGAGACCGGCGTCGTTGTCAGAAGTGGTCAGCCAGTCTGCGATGTCTAATATTAGTTACTTAATAGCCTCGCCTATCGAGTCGCGGAAAAATCCGCTGGATGACTACTTGTACACGAATTACTCCGCGCGGAGAGACGTGCCAGACGTGACACGCGACGACGTCGTTTATCGAAGCATTAATCGTGCCAATAACACGTTAAAGGTCGTCGATCCCCAGCCACCGTTTGGAATACCTTTGGGCCCAGTGACCACGGCTACCGAGAGCGATTATCTGCACACGACGCCTAAATTGGAGCAGCCTCGTTCGCCGTACATACCTCAGTGCGAGCCGGACATCGTCACTGACGACATGGCCTATCGAACCCTCCGAAAAGATTCCGGATTTCAGAATAAAACCGATTCCGCGGATCGCGAGAGTTTCGGTACGAAAAAGAAAGCCGTCAGATCTCTGTCGGCGAATCTCTACGGTTTGATCGATCACGATAGAATTCATCTTCGAAGGGAGTCTAACCTTCGAGACATAAAGGACGGAATCAACGCGATAGACGTTGGAACGTTGACTGTAAAAACAGAAAGACGCGTCGTGAGCGACGGTGAACTTTCCGATTACGATACTCGATGGCGAGGCGATTTCTTCCGAAACAAAACTGACATAAATGGTAATCATACGTTGGCCAACGGACATAGGCAGAAGCTGCGCGTTTATGTCTCACCGTCGACTCGTCTGCAGAGCTTCGAGGATAAAATCGAGCCACAAAACTCTCCGACGTCCGACAAGGCATCGTCGAAGGCTTTAAACAATGAATTGTGGGAGGATCGAAGTAAACCTAGCGAGACGCCTGACTTGGACACGGAACCGGATTTCATGGCGTACAGCCGTTTGTGCCAAGATTTAGTAAATCTGATCGAAGGGCAAAACGAAGTCGAGACGAAGACGGATCAAACATCGAATAAAGAAGACGATTCGATGCGATCGTTGAACGACCAATGTTCAAAGGAGAACGAGAAGGACATAGAAGAATTAACGGAGAGTCTCGTAAATCCTGTGAACGAGGAAAAAACAGGAGACGACGACAGTTTCGACTTTTACCTTCGAGTCGCTGACGAGAATGTTAAACTAATTGCGGAGGCGTTCAGCAGCGTGGCGGATCACTTACGCGATAGCCGTTCGAGCCAGAAGAATTCGGTGACGTCGCGACGTTCTGAAATAGAAACGGAAACGAGCGTTGCGCTAGATACGAGCACCCGAGACGACTTAGACGACGACCAACCGTCTAGCTCGCCGAGGACCATCGATCATACATCGAACGTAGTTCCTACAGAAGATACAACGATAACTTTAAACGAGGACCAGGTGGAACCGGAACAGACGAGAACCACTGATCCCGAACTCGATCTGACGAGAGCCGTTCATGATTTGCAGTTAGCCGCGGCTAGTTTATGCGAGCACGAGAAAGAGATCCAACAGTTGGAGGCGTTGCTGAGAAAGGACGCGAGTAACGACGTTCCTATCGAAGAGGACACCTCGTCGTTGAGCATCGAGACCGACGCGGGGTCCTCGAACGAGGATAGTCAGAAGGAACGCGACCAAGAAGAGACCGTGGTATCGGTCGGCGTGAAATCCGCGCCTAACGATCCAAATTGCGAAGGTGAGAATAACAGAGAATGCAAGCAGGATGATACATGTGAACCGAATGAAATCCCTTGTTCGACTGACATCCGTATTTCGTGCGTTACTAACCTCGTGACAGTTTTAGTAACAGCATATTCCATGGTTTTTCTCGCTTGTTTCGTTGCACTGCTTTTAGCGACAATAGCGGCATCATGACTGCTGGCCTTCTTCTCTTAACGAGCAGTTAATGCATTTTGAGATTAGACAGAGGTTTGATTCGACGCGTTGTCGCTGCTGCTGCTGCTGTTGCTGCTGCTGCTACTTTCCCGAGGCTACTATTATTTTGAACCATGTTGCTAATGTCGTAGGTCTCCCGGCACTCGATCATTCGTGACGTGAAACTTCTTCTTCTATTCTATGCGAGCGAATAACTAACCGATACACACACACACAACGTCGTTGAGCGACATGCGGCAGGACAATTCAGTTTTCTCTAAGATCGAGTTTCTCCGGACTGTTTCCGAAGGAATCATTTGTTCTTGTTCTTGTTAATCTTGTTGGTTTTAATAAAGTTTAAACGTTAACTATACTGGTTACCTGACAAACCCTATTACCTGGTTACCCTGTCTTATACCTTGGTTACCCTCCAATACATTCTAAACAGCTCATGTTCGTTCATAAAGTAATAATAATAATAATAATAATAATAATTTAAATAATGCGAACGAAGAAGTAACATTGAAATATGCAAGGGTTTGCATTCTCCATGTTGGGGGACTCAATAACGACTCAATAAGGGTAAGTTTGAGGGTTGCTTTCCCGAAGGTACTTTGTACTAAAATCGAATTATGCGGCAAAGCTTTGAAAGGGGTAAGAGAAAAAAAAATAAACGTAAGAATGTTTAGTATGTGTGGGTGAAGGGCGATTAATTGGAGTAGTTACTGTAAACCAATGTTGGATTACGAAATACAAAAAGGAATGACGGTAGTTCTATGTTAACTTTATTCCTAATAGTTCTTTAGACGATCCAAAGTATCCTAAACTGTTCCTGTTCTTTATTTATAAGGAAAACTTTGTAAGCGAAAAAGTGAGGGAGTGGGAAAAAAGGAGAAATTGAGAGAAAGTGGGGCTGACTAAGAATAAGTTCAAGGGTGAAAGATGACTAAAAGGATGAGATTATGGTTTTGGGACTAAAAGAATGAGATTATGGTTTAGGGTCTAAAAGACTAATATATACAAACTTATGTTTAGAATGCGCAATCGTGAGTATGCTCTTGAATAAGCAG